GAATCGTGCCCACAGCTAAAGTTTAGCTGCTAAACTGAACACTTAAAACAATAATGGTGGATACGTTAGCCGAGTGCTAACGTGACTAACTGATGAAACAATACAGTTTGTAAACCAAAATAAGTCTACCATAATGTTCGAAGAACGACAGACAAAAGACACTCTGTCTTAACTTTTAATCAGAATGCAGAACAGCTGTATCACAGATAAGGATAGCTACGTTATAAACTGCAAAAGAGATATTTTTCAAAAACCCATATGACCTGCTCTTTAAATATAAGATCATTCATCGAACATCTCCGAAAGAGACCATTGTCATCTTGGTGACCCAAGAACAGCTTGGACCAATTCAAGAAAGAAATCTTGATTTGTGAAAGAATGGTTCAGATCACTCGTTTGAATTGTTCAAACCAGTTTAATTCGAAACCAGTTCAACTGAATCAATGAAAATATCAGATTCAAAAGAGTGATTTGTTTACTAACCAGTTTGATATGAACCAGTTCAACTAACTCACTGAAAATATCAGATTCAAAAGCAATTTGACTACCAACCTGTTTGATTCAAACCAGTTTGACTAAATTACTTTTACAAATCGGACATCAATAATCTACAGTGTTCTTTAGTAAACAGTAGGGCTGCAACAACTAATCGATAAAATCGATTACGAAAATCATCGACAACGATTCTCATTATCGATTAATTGATTAATCGAAAAAATAATCGACCAACTAATCGATTATCAAAATAATCGTTAGTTGCAGCCCTAGTAAACAGACCTCATGTGTATGTCAACACTATACTCAAGAGGTTTAACAGCTAATGCTATCTCAGCCATGAACTGTGTGAGAAGACTTAAAGGGTCTCAACACAAACCTACAAAAGTAGTTCTCTGGTTTTATTTCAAACCCTCTAAGAAAACACAGCAAGAGGACATTTTGCAATGGGCGCAACAAAGACCCCTCATTAAGGTGATTTTTTGCTGGAAAACTCCACTCCCATTACAGAGTTCAGTTACTGCAGTACAGTAGAATCACTGTTTCAAGAATAATGATTTCCTGCCACAATCATTAAAACAATTTAATAGGAATGTTATTTTATAATTTAAATTGCCATTGTTCTGTTTTGGCAATGCATGTTGCCACATCTTGTCATTATGAAAACTTTATGGCCAACATAACTTAATCTTGATTGGAAAATCATTGGATTAAAAGTTAATTAACTTTTAAAAACAAGAATAGAGATGAGGGCTAAATTTCTCAACAACAATAGCACACCAAAAGAAAATATAGTGTGATACAGGCTGAAATGACAAGCCTCCTCCGCGTCTCTCGTGTGTGCAGGTATTGAGTGCGCGCTGGGTATCTGACCTTGCTGCTGCACGCGCACCTGCACACAAACGCGCAACGCTACCTGAGATAACAACATAACATCCATCACACAGATGCATTAACATCAAACTAGAGTATATTTACGACATAAACCACATTTATAACACAAACCCTGACAGTACAGGCAAAATATGCCATCGTGATCAGACTGAGGAATCAAATCTGTGAGTGCACACGGCGAAACGTCGTCACTTACTCGCTGATTCTTCGTATTATTCATGTTTGAAGAGTCGCTCGAAGAAGCTGGAACTCCGAAATCAGCCCATTCACGGGAACTCTGAAGTGATCAAATGTCCATTCCTCCGCAATAAACAGTACGTGACTGTGTCACAGCGTTAGTAAGAACGCTTGCCCGGGACCGTCGGTGTTTGACACGGTCATCTGGCCGTGCTCATCTCTCAGCTGTCATCGCAAGCCGCGCGCGCTCTCTCCCTCCCTCTAGTCCAGATGGGGTCACACGAGCTGCGGCGAGGGAGAGCCAACCGGTGGGGCTGGAGAGGGGCGACGGTGCTGCTGACTTCTGTATGTTTACAGTCGCGGCCCGGGAGGTTTATCGAACAACTGCAGATTTTCATAGAACGCATATAAACAAAAGATACAAATACATCCCGCTCGCCCTCGTGGAATTTTGCTCGCGCGATCAAAACAAAGCTGTCAGTCTAGGCGCCGCTGGACTACAGTAATATCTGTCTTTCTCCTCATAACCATCTTCCGTCCGCGTCCGCTTCAAGTCCACTGTGAATTACATCACCTCTCTAACAATAGCAGTGATTGCTCGGAATAACGCGCCTCGGTGGAGCAGGTGGAGAATATGGTTCAGATCAGCACGTGGGTTAAACCAATTAAATCTTTATAGAGCAGCGAGAGTCCAAAGAGACAAAGTTGCAAAGAGCTTCATGTTTAGAGATGCATGTGCAGACTCACACTTTGATTAAACCCATATTGCATATTTAAGCAGGGGTTTTCAAACTTTTTGATGCCACTCCTTAATCTGATAATTAAGTAATTATTTCTAGTCAGTTAGTGTAATCCCTGCTGGAAGAAAACAAAAACAGCTAAAACCAGCATAAACTGGTTGGCTGGTTTTAGCTGGTCATCCAGCTTGTCATAGCTGGTCATAGCTGGACAGCAGGCTGGTTTTAGAGGGGTTTTGGCCACTTCTTTAGCTGGTCAGGCTGAGAGACTAGCTTGACCAGCTTAGCCAGGCTGGGAGACCAGCTAAAACCAGCTACTTCCATCTTAAACCAGCTAAGACCAGCCAACCAGCTTAGGCTGTTTTTTTTCCAGCAGGGATGTTAAAAGGATAAACTTGGAAAGAAACATTTTAATTCAATTCAAAAAGTGTATAGCACTTTTCACAGTAAATGTAGTTCTCTACAAAATATAAGTATTAACTTTATAGACAATATTCCCTTAGAAAACTCCAAGTTATAGTGAGCAAACTAAAGGTGAGTGACAATGACAGCAACTATTTCTTACTGTTACTGTTTTACACAAATAAATAAAATGTATTAGCAGTCAGCGGATTAACAGCAAGTAATCTCATGATTCCTGAAATTTAAAAAGATTAATCCTCTATTTTTAATTCTTAAAAATATTGCTTTACCTTTTATTATCCGAAATATTATGCAGACCACTAACACCGTTTTGAAGACTCCTGTCAAAATTAGTTTTAAAAGTATGACATTACTTTGTTTCTTGAACAGTTTTAATGCAATTCTATTGTATTTCCTGAAGTGCTTCAAAGCACCATATAGTAGTATTCCTTCAGTAGTACTCTGATTACCATCTGATAACACTCCACCATGGCTAACACTGAACAACAGTAAGTAAATTTTATTTATAGAGCACATTTAAATTCAGCGTACACTGACCAAAGTGCTGTACAAAACAATCATAAAATACAGTAAAGTATAAAATAAAATACAAATTAAAATCCAAGATAACAATACTAATCCATAAATTAAAAATCAGGAAAGGCCATAGAAAAAAGATGCGTTTTAAGTCTAGACTTAAAAACCGAAATAGACTGAGCACAATTAATGTCAGGTGGCAACTGATTCCATAACCGTGGAGCAGCTACTGCAAAGGTTCTGTCACCTTTAAACTTAAGTCGTGACCGTGGGACATATAAAAGAGCTTTATTAGCAGATCTAAGGG